CTGACTGTGGCTAGGAGATACGCCACCTGTTCAGTGTTCTTCATACAGAAAATGGTTACCTGCAGTTACCAGCCAGTGGAGAGGGACCTGTTCAATTGTAGTATAGACACATAGATCTATTCCAATAGAACACTGGCTCCCAGCCTGATTGCAGTAGGTGACCTCCTGGCAGGGAAGTGGCAGAGCAGTGTGGGGCCCGAGAAGAAAACAAAAACCCAAAATGCTCCCAAGATGAGAGAGGGCAACCAGTGATTTATCTCTGAGAGGCGGAGACACTGGCTGTTATTCCTAGTCTTGGTTTCTCTCCGTAAAATCCAGGAAGGTGTGAGAGACATGTGTGCTTGTCTACCCCATCCCCTTCACAGGAACGTCAGTTAAACTCATAGTGGGGCTTCTGTTCAAATCCGAGATTTTGCAGGTAGCCATTGGGAAAATAATAAACTCAGTTAAATTCTAATTCTGGCTCTACACTGGCTTTACTTCCCCTCTCCCACTTCCCTCCCTCACGCTCTTTTTTTTTTTTTCTTTTTCAAAGATACTTTATCACATTTCCCTCCACTCAGCAGCAAAGTCTTCAGGTGAGCTGATTAGCATTTTCAGTAGGGTTGAGTACGGTTGGAAGGCACTCGAGCATTTTCATAGGGTGATGAGTGTTCTTTATTGACTCGAGACTTTGGGGTAGAGGAAGGGACACAAAAATATTGTTAAGCTCTAGAAACTGGGATTGGAACAGTCTTGGGGAGGTTGCCCAGTGCCACCCTGACTGATGTGACCAGCAGTCAAAGGCTGTGTAAAGGTGAAGGGGATCTTTAGGGGGGGGTGTGAGTTGCCACACTGGGGAGAAGCTGTCTCCTGAGCCTGACCATAGTGCCTCTCCAGATGAAGAGTATGTGACACACGACCACCAGAGGACTCCGACACATTCAAACCCAAACCCAAATGCCTCATTGAGTAGAAGTCCAGAGGGGGCAAATACTTACCCACAGTCACACAGCACAGTGGTTGTGCTGCTCCCAACCAGGGCTCTCTCCCACAGAGAGAGTTTTTTTGTTTCTATCAGTGATTAGAATAAAATGTGGAATTAATTTTGTCTGCCTGGCTATTCCCACTTCCCTGTTGTTCTAGTCTTCTATTCCTTCTGACTAGGGGGTGGCTAGCTCCCTTGCAGATGGTGTTGGTTTCTTGAAGCACCTGCCTGTTCCTCATTCAGCTTTAGACCCATATATGCCTCATCAGCTATAAACTTTCCTGTTCTCCTTAGCTCCCCTGTGCTGCTAGCCGCCCCCCACCCCGGGCTCCTTTGTTCATTTGGTGGGTTGTTCATTAAGCCTTCAGCAGCAGGAATGAGGGAAGCTCTGCTTGTACTCATTGAAGGCCATTCTCAGTGTAAACAGCTGTGAACCTTTGTAATTTTTAAAATCAAGAAATAGGCTAAAGTTTACTACAGTAGTCAAATTACTATTGATTGTGTCTCTAAGAGGCTAAAAGCAGTGGCTTTTATAAAACACCAATCTTATTTGGTTCTCAAATACCCATACAAGGTAGGTGGGGGGCATCCTTGTTTTTAAGGCTATAGCATCTGAGATTCAGCAAGGTCGTGTAGCTTGCACAAGGTCAAATAGCTGGCAAAGAGCAGAGAATGTGAACCCAGGTTAATCTGGTCACAAAGCCACCAAACTGTCCCGCTACCCACTCATTATCCAACCGTGGCCTTGCCCAAGGAAACATATTGCTAGTTTTTATTTTGAGAATGAGTGGGGAAGGAGTTGGAACAAAGTGTGCTTGAATATCTGCTGACTGACACTTCAGTCACACCACTGACGAGATAACATTTCTGAATAGCAGGTCTTCTAGAATGAGGAAATCACAACTCCTCGTCTTCCTTTTTTGTTCCTTCTAGAAAAAAAAATCATAGGGATTTTTCTTTAATATAATTTAGGTTATCAACAACATTGGCCTTTTTCCCAGTTAAAAACCACATGTTTACTGTAGAAAATACAGATGCACACAAGATGACATGACTTTTCAAACTTACAGAAGCTGCTTAAGAATGTGGGCACTGGCTCTGGATTTCCAGGGTATGGGCCCTCTCTGCAGGTCTGTGTATGATGTTGGCCTCATCATTTTTGTGTCTGTTTTTGGTCTGTGAAGTTGGAAACAGCCAAACCTCATTGGATTTTTGTTAAGTGTAAATGAGTTAATAGCTGCAAAATCCCCTGAAGGTAAACAAGAGATTTTTAACATTTTAACAAATATTCTTCTAGTCACCCTCTCTGAGCCTGTGTATTCATGTGCAAATATATATGCTAGCATACATCTATTAATAAACAAAGAGGTAATTTTTTAAACCAACTACTTTCATCAGGTTCCCTTCCTTACCCCCACATGGCCTTCTCCATGACTTGATGGTTGCTTAACCCCAGTGTGTGATGGCACAAATGGAACTGAATACATTTGATGGGTGTATAGATTCCTAGTTTTGCACTGAGCAGATTGGAGTAGTTCTGTCATGAATGTTGCCTCTGGGTGATAGGAGCTCGACACTCTTTAGAGCATACCTTTTTATGGGGGGTATACCTGCCTTGATTCTGAGCGTGGCAGCACTGTGAATTCGTATGCCGGTCCTGAGCGGGCCACTCGGACTCTGGCTCTCGAACGTATGTCATCCCCCTTAAATCTGAAAAAAACATGTTTCTGAATTTAACTTCTCTGGTATGACTGCTCTCTTGATTTGCAAGAAATCACAAACCTGATTGTCTTCTTGCCATTTCTGAGGTGCTAAGAAGCTGTCCTTAAAATGCGTCAGAGGAGAAGCCTGCTCCTTGCTTGCCAGGTTGGTCCCACCTTTCTGGGTAGAGAGCTGCAGTTAAATCTAGGCCATGCTGGACACTGAACCTTGCTGTTTTATGAGTTTCTAGTGATGTGCTTCATTCCTTTAGCGGTATGAAGTTCTTGCTGGCCTCAAGTTGGCAGAAACCATTGATTAGTTCCCCCTTCCCTACCACCCATCCTCTCCACTGCCTTCCGACACTAGCAAAGCTGACTGTTGCCTGTCCACACCTCAAGAGCATTATAGAGAGAGACTTGAGTCCAAGTTTGGCATGCAGAAGGCAAGAGTGATGGGCTGAAGTGACTGGGGACAATAGTCTCTTGTGGGATACACCTCTGAAAAGGTTTGTGGTTTAAGGAGATCTTTTCTCCTACAGCCTAACAGAAGAATCAGGAGCCAACGTTGGGAACCTGGTATTTTAAATGATGTACTTTCTAAAGGAACTCAGCTGCACTGTAGGATGCTATTGACAGATCATGCTCAGGCATCCAAAACATTTAAGGGAAGAACCTGATTGTTTTTGTTTTCATTCTAATCTAGGGACTATATTTTTTCACTGCTGAGAGAAGAATCTAATACATTGTCAGGCTAATGTGTATGCAGAATTGTAGAGGAGCCAGTGTGTCTTTGAGGTATGCTAGACCAGCATTAGGACTTAAAAAGAGAATAATGTGTATCTCACATTTGGAAAACTCACAAAGCATCAATTATTCTTAGTAGTGTTTTCCAAAGTGATCTTTAATTAGTTTCCTCTTGACACTCTCCCTGTGAGCAAGGTTAAGTAACATTACCCTCTTTGTACTGATGAGGACTCCAAAACAATGAGAGGTTAATTGACAGTGCCTTGTGGTCTCTACACTGAGGCTGACCCAGCCAGAGGAATTTCCTCTGCCTGTAACTCTGGCTTTCCACTCCAAAGGGTCTGCAGAGCCAGGGCTGCCTCAGGGAAGACTTCAACAGAGGCAGGAAAAGTTCCCAGCCAAGGAAAAAGCATCTTGCTCAACCTTCATTATTATTATTTCTTTTTCTTTTTTGGTAGTACTGGGGACTGGACTCATCAGCCATATTCTTGCATTCCTGTTTGGGGACTGTTGAGGTGGTAGTCTCTCGCAAAGTCATAGTCCAACTTCCTCCGCCTAGAAACCGTTTTTGCTGCCTTGAGCCAAGCTGTAGGAGTGATGGATGGCAGAAATAAATTATTTTGGGCCCAAATGCTCAGTCTTGGCAGGGGGCCCTTTGTATTTGAGATGTAAACCTGACATCTACAAAAGGCTTAGGAATCTGATGTTTTTTTTTTCCCTGTAGTTCACATGTTGGCCTCTTCTGTAGAAGGGTTATCAGTTGTCCCTCGTGCATGTTCCTGTTAAAGCTTACTTTCGATTCAGATATTGCAAAATATGTAATTGGGAGCACAGAAATGTTTCTAATCTAGGAAGCCCTTGCATCTCTGCCTTCTGCCCCCAACAGAACTGCTAACATCCTTGAATCATCTTGGCTTACAGCTCCCAGCAATGTAGCAGATCAATGCCACAAAGCCAGGGTTGGTGGTGCCACTGAAGTCATGGTCTGATGTAGGACGTTACCATACTGATGTTAGTTATCCTTGTGTCCTGACTGTACTTTTTTTTTTTGGCTCCATAAAGGCCCTCTCATAATTAGCAAAAATACTCATAAGATTGTTATGGGCTTGTGGAGGACAAGCTTAATAAGAGTAAGGAAAGCATATAATTTTGAGCTAGAAAAAATTGGTCTAATCTTCCCTCTATTTCTTATGAGTTATGGAGCCTTAGGCTAACAGGTCTTCTTTTTGAACTTTACATTTTTTTTTCAGCTATAAAAATGGGGATATCTACCTCATGATTAAACTATAAGGCCACACTAATAAATATGTACTTCACAGACAGAAGCAGACCAAGTCTGGGACCAATGAGGTTGCTACAATTCATCCACTATGCAGGTGTCCTCCTCTGTACCCAGTTGTTTACCTTAAATTTACACAGGGTGGGGAATAGAGATTTGCCATCTGGGACTTGGAAGTCTAGAAATTTTACTGGATGGGGGGGAGATCAAGGCCAGACATGGTGAGCAAAGTGGACGCTGAAGTGACTTTTCTGTGAGTTTTGTCTGGAGGAGGGATCTTTGGTCACCACTGTTGTTCTGTTCTTCCTAGATGGAGCAAGAAGATAACCAGGGTATGTGTGAACACCAGGACTCAGAAGACGGAGCGATGGACTCCGATTTTGAGAACACGGAGGACAGGGAAGGGGACCCAGAAGAAAGAGGAATGGGCTTGAATTCACAGGATGCAGAAGAAAGAGGCCACCTGGAGCTGGAGATGGGCTCCAACCCCCAGGAGGAAGCTCTCAGTGAGGATTTCAGGGGAAGGGAAGTCGTGTCCAACATCTGCACAGGTGAGGAGGTGGGAATTTCCCCCACTCACATTCACATCTTGCTTTCTAGAATTACCAACAGGGGCAGCATTATCTTTGGGGGAGCTTTCTAGAGACCATTAAGCAGGATTCTGTACTAACCTAGCCTTTCTAGTACTGGTCCTTGGGCACATTATTTTCTTCAGTCCAGTCTGAGGTGGGCTGTGCTGGTAGGCATTGGTGAAGAGGCTCACTCATGGGTACAGCACTTTACAGTAGAGATCACCACTGTTAATTCCCAGTTGTAACAGCACTACAATTACTCAGGTGACACTGGAAGGGTTGCTGGAAATGAGCTGCTGAATTTAAAGAGTTACTAAGTACAGTGTTGAGCAAAGTATCCAGATGCAGGTATACCTCCTCTGCAGACAAGTGAACAGTGTTAAATGACCTGTTTAGGTTCATGTGACTGATTTCAGAGTGCCCAATTCTACAAAATCTCTTGCCATTCCTGACCTGAGAGCTGGACCTTTATCCACTTCCTGGTTTCTGTCTTTGGGCATTTGTTACTTTATCCAGCTGAGTACATGCCCCAGGGTCAGAAAGGAGCTGAAATACTCTATGCTAGGACTGTAAGGTTACATTCCTTACCATTCCTTACCGCCTGACAAAGTCCCAGACTCCCTGCTGCCCTCCCCCACAGTGCACACAGCTTGTGGCCTTCCATAACTGAGCAACTTCCTGGAGTGCCCTCTGCTTGGGGATAAAGTAGCTAAACACTAACAGGTGTGTATCCTTGAAGCAGCCTCCAGCCTGGGCTCCATAGCTCTAGCCTCTTTCCTTCTGTCATCACTCTCCTCCCCCATCCATAGACAAGACCAGAAGGTGAGTTTAGTTTGTTGTTTCACCTGAAGCTGTACCAGGCTGCAGTTTTAAAAAGCTGGGTTCATAATCATATATGCATGGAATTTATTTGCTTCATTTTAGCCTCTTGCCCCTTTCCCATGCCACCTCTTTTTCATACTGCATTTGAAAGTTGGTCTAGGGCTTGGTTAGGACAAGTGGTTTGTTTTTTTGCTTTTTTTTTTTTTGGTGTGTGTGTGTGTGTGTGTGTGTGTGTGTGTGGTTAGCTACGCCGATCTTTTCTTTTGAGGAAATAGCCTTACAAGGCACTGGTAGCTCTCAAGCAGTGAAAAACCTTTTCTCTGGAGATCGAGATCCCAAGGAGTTCCACCTGGCACAGACTCTGCCATTTCCTGCATTCAGAAAGCTCCGCTGGGTGGGGCCTGTGGAAGAACTGGAAAACAAAGTAGCAAAGTCTGCAGAGAGTGTACACTCCTTAGGCCTTTTCTGGGAGGAACCGAGTGGGTGCGGGGCTGGAATGTAAGGGGCTGGGTGGAGATTGGGAGCGTTTGGGGGAGGTGCATTACACCTTGGCCCACACACCCTTATGTCCAAGCTCCTTTCCTCTAGTCTTATCTTGTTGAGCGCTAGGTCTGTAAGCCCCTCTGCTTTCTTTTCAATGTTGCAGAGGGATTGCTGAGTGAGGAGGAAGCTATTGCTCTCCATGAGGAAGATGATCAGCCTGGTGTGGTTGACATGGGGATGTTCCCAGGTCTGTCTGAATCAGACAGCATATCCCGGAGTCCCCAGGAAGAGGAGGAGGAGGAAAGTACTGGAGAGAATAGGTTGGAAGAGGAAGAAGAGCAGCCGCCACCTCCCATACTTCCCTGGAGGCGCCACCTGTCCCTGGGAAGTCGCCACCGAGGTGACAAACCTGCTCACCGCCGCTTCCACCGCCTCCACCACCCCATGGCCATGGATCTCGGGGAGCTAGACAGCCTGGTGGCTAGCATCATGGATGCGCCCACCATCTGCCCCGACTGCGGGGAGAGCTTCAGCCCAGGTGCCGCTTTCCTACAGCACCAGCGTATTCACCGCCTGGCAGAGGCCGCCGCGGTAGCCAGCCTGGAGCCTTTCGGCCTGGCGGGCGAGTGCGGAGCTGTGGTGGGGATGATGGGGATGGGCGTGGCAGGGGGCTTTGGAGCTGGGCCCGCACTGGCCCGGCCCCCGCGCGAAAAGCCCTTCCGCTGCGGGGAGTGTGGCAAGGGCTTCAGCCGCAACACCTACCTGACAAACCACCTGCGCCTGCACACAGGCGAGCGGCCCAACCTGTGTGCCGATTGCGGGAAGAGCTTCAGCTGGCGCGCGGACCTGCTCAAACACCGGCGCCTGCACACTGGTGAGAAGCCCTATCCGTGCCCGGAGTGCGGTGAGGCTTTCAGCCTCAGCTCGCACCTGCTGAGCCACAGGCGTGCGCACGCGGCCGCCAGCGGTGCAGGTGCTGCAGCGCTGCGGCCCTTTGCCTGTGGGGAGTGTGGCAAGGGCTTCGTGCGCCGTTCACATCTGGCCAACCATCAGCGCATCCACACGGGCGAGAAGCCTCATGGTTGCAGCGAGTGCGGCAAGCGCTTCAGCTGGCGCTCGGACCTGGTGAAGCACCAGCGCGTGCACACAGGAGAGAAGCCCTACATGTGCTCAGAGTGTGGCGAGACCTTCAGCGTCAGCTCGCACCTCTTCACGCACAAGCGCACGCACTCGGGTGAGCGGCCTTATGTGTGCCGCGAGTGTGGCAAGGGCTTTGGGCGCAACTCGCACCTGGTGAACCACCTGCGCGTGCACACAGGCGAGAAGCCCTTCCGCTGCGGCCAGTGCGAGAAGCGCTTTAGCGATTTTTCCACGCTCACGCAGCACCAGCGCACGCACACCGGGGAGAAACCCTACACGTGCATTGAGTGTGGCAAGAGCTTCATCCAGAGTTCGCACCTGATCCGCCACCGCCGCATCCATACCGGCAACAAGCCGCATAAGTGCGCAGGCTGTGGCAAAGGCTTCCGCTACAAAACGCACCTTGCACAGCACCAGAAGCTGCACCTGTGCTAGGGTTAGGTGGGAGGGAGGTCGCCCTCTGTGAAGCATGTAGGGAATAGGTGTCCTGGGGACAAACCCTATTGAAAGAAGTGGGGAAGGGGCGGGAGGGGCAAGCTGAGAGTGACTGAGGAGCCTTTGAGTGTTAAGGAGTCCCCAGTAAGAGTTGTTATTTTGGGGTGCTATATTTTTGCCTACTTCCGCTCCAAGAAACTTTTGGGAGATGTGTTTGAGTAACGACTTCCTGAAATATACCCTGTAGGGAGTGAAGGGGCTTGGAGGATTAGGTGATTTGAGGACCTTGAGGAAGGGGGTTTGGAGAGTGGGGGTGGGAAACAGGATGGCAGGCAATAGAGTAGTTTGGGCTATAATGACCTGGGGGAATCAGGGGAGGAAGTATGGTTGGAGTGAGAATAAAGTATAATGCGGGTATAAATAATTCTGAACTGGTCCAACCAGGTGGTAAGCCAGTGTTTGCCCTGAGCTCCCAAATCAGCTATAATCGAGGAGACTCTTGTCCATCCTGAAGGAGAGGATATTTAGTATACTCTTCCTTTCTCTGAGCCACAGTTAGCTGCTATTTTGAGGCATCCAAGGGAAACTGGGAAGAAAACTACACAACCTCATTTCAAGGGGCGACTTCTAGGGTGTAGAAATACATTTGTAACTGGTTCTTAGATCTCTTGAAAAATCCTGCTCTTGCTTCCGATTCCTTGATACTGCCTTGAACACCCTCTAACTTTGTGCTAGGTCAAAATCATCTACGTGGGTGACCTGCCCCTTGCCCTGTGTCAGGTGTGTGCCAGGCCCAGTATTTCTTTAAGGTGTCACCTGTAATCCGGAAAATGGAACAATCTCAGCTATGTGTGACCTTCCCCTTCCCAGGTCAGCTTGATGTCTGTGTTTCAAGTGAACCCCAGATGGTAAGCTGTTGTCCTATGATCTGCTACAGAAGTCAGTTAGCTTAGGAGGTTTTTCTGGCAGTATGTGAAAAATCCAGGAAAGCAAAGTTCACAAGTTGGAATGCAAGGCTCCTTTGTCTTTTTGCCTTCAATTTGCATGTGTGCCCTGTACCCCGCTCACCCCCAACTCCATTTATATTGATGAGGGATCTAGTTCAAGCAAGAATTTCTTTTTTCCTTCATGTGGAGGCACAGTGGAAATCTCAAGGCTTTACACAAAGAGGGCAAAGTCAGGGAGAGGTGTAAATGCAAAATTGCCAAATAGCACAAGCAATGAATGTTTTCTAGTTGTTATATAGATGCCAAAATAGCACTTTTGTATTTGCAAAGTGCTTTATGCTTTTTAATGATTGTTAGTTGTTTCTCACATGTTTGTGAGCTAAATCAGTATTATGACCTCTGTCTTAGGGAAAGCCTGGGGGCAGGAATATGGCAGGCTGACCTGAACAAAGGCTGAGGACAGTGTGAAGAGGTATGGCCTCACCTTTTGTGTTCTCCAGCTCAGCTGCTAGGAAGACATACCTGTCATGATTTATATATATATATATAAAAAAAATAAGGACACTGAACATTTTTACCTTTGATTAAAAACTCAAAGCTAGCCTAGAAGGGCCAAAGATGTCCTTATTGACAAAGCTGGTCTTTGTCACCTAATTAGAGTGACCTAGTTATGTTGCGTTTCTAGTAGAGGGCTGTAGTTAGATGACTTTTGTATAGATTTCAGTTCCATATGCTGAAAGTCTCTTCCCTAGGTTAGCCTTTAGAAGTTAGAATTGTGGGAAACAGTATTGTTTTCTTCACTAACATTTGTTACCCTGTACTATTCATAGAAGCATCTTCATAAACTGTTGGACACAGTTGAAGGGGGGAAAAAAAAGCTACAAGATGGTTTTTACAGATTTAGCAAAGTTTCTGTGAATGCTAGTAATTTATACTTGATCTGTTGTATTCTAGCAAAGAACTTTGGGGACTGTGGAAAAGCATGTTTTTGTCATTATAAGAACACTGAAAAAAATTCTGCAAATTCTGGGTTTGTGTGTTGCCTGTTGATCTTGCCCTCTGAATTAGTTTACTGCTATTCATAAATACAAATAGATGTTCATACTAGGGATAATTTCAAAATACACTAATTCTTTTCAATTTTCTTTTAATCAAGAGTTATACCAGCAAACTACATTTCCATTATTTATAATGACTCTTGTAATCTAAATTGAATACCAAGTGTATAAGATCACCTAAAAATAATGTAGCCACTTTATAGGTAATCTTATTCCTTTATTTTTTTTCCCCATGCACATCTACCTCTTCCATCTGTTTTAAGTTCTTTCAAGTCTGTGCCTGTGAAATCTCTTCCAACTTTTGATTACTCATGGATTGATTATCTACTTTATTGGTTGTTTGGTCTTTTGCTGCCATCATTATGCACAGTCTCATCAGCATCAAATATATCACATATCAGCAGCTTTGAGAAGAGGGTTCAATGGAAGGTGAAGATTGAAGTTTATGTGAAATAAAGGCAGTAGAAATCCTTGAACTTCATTTGCCTCTGTTCTTTCTATTACCGTGGATAAGAGAATCAGCCATCATGTCAGTGTCTTTTCTATGAGCAAAGCCTTTAGCAGAAGAAAGCTGTATAACCATCAAAATCCCACTCCCAGGGTGTATTTAATATGTGAGTCCCTTTTTCTTACACTTCTTCGGGGAAAATACCTGCATTAAGTGAGGTTAAATACATTTAGGAGGTTGTTTCTTGTCTTTAGTTTTAGAATAGTAGTATTTTTTTTTTTTTTTGGTAAACCCTATTAATTGTAGTTCATCCTTGATGGTGTTAAAGATTCCTTACTCCAACTTGTTGATGACGACGGAGGCAAATGAATTATTAGTATTTGTTCCCTGGTGAGTTTGGTCCAGAGCAGGCTTCCTCTGCTGCCCTTCACTAAGCAAAACCTGGAGCAGTTTAGATGTGAAATGGTTTGGATTAAATCTTGAGTTCTAAGTTGGAAGAAGTAAATGAGATGTTAACCCTTTGAGCCGTGTGGTCTCTGTACAATCAAGAGGCTGTACATATGTGAAAAAAAGTACAAATTAAGAATCTGTGTTCATAGACAATCTGAACTGTGTTTCTGAAGTTTGTGCACATTTTTCTTCACTGTAATGTTATTTTACATCTGTTTGTTAAAATAGTAATTTAATAATCTTAAGAGTAACAGGTTTTATGTGAGTGTCTTTGTGTATGTGAGAATTGCCTTGTTTTCAGGTCATTTTATTTAATGATGGTTCCTTGGACAGTATTCTAATGTTCATCAATCAATATGGAATATTTGTCATTAAATCCTTATCAGTCTTTTACTCTGTCATTCTTTCTTCCTTGTTTGTCATTTGTTAAATGTCACTCAGTTCAACCTGTGGAAGCTATGTGCTGCTAAAACGGGGACTAGCAAACTACGAGATCTGGCTTGACTCTGTAAATAAAATCCTATTGGAATATAGTCTCACCCATGAAGTCACCTTTATAGATTGCCTATGGCAACTTTCATGCTGCATGGCACAGCTAAGAGGTTGTGACAAAAGCTACATGGGCCATGATCTTAAAATATTTACTATCTATAGCTTTTTTAAAAAAAATAACAGGGGCTGGGGATGTGGCTCAAGCAGTAGCGTGCTCACCTGGCATGCG